TTAAGTAGCAGTTTCTCACGATCAAGGAAAAAATTTAGTTTTTGTGGTGGTTGGAGTTTCCTACCTCTCCACACGTACTCACCAGGATTCTTATCTCCGTTACAGCCAAATCACTTTAAATTGCATGACACATTATCAGTTCGTCACCACTGCAACAATGTTCCATCTAGTAAAGGTACCTAACAGAAGTATTCAAAAGTGCCAGCGCGATCATCGCAATGGTGAACATTTCTTACTGAATCTGAAGGCGGCTTATGTTGTCATTTACCTATAGCTTCAGGCTTTACTTCTTTCACCAGGAACCTCGCCCAAACACCGTGCAAGCAGCAACGTCTATCACAAGTAACATTCAGTCAATTTTTTTCACCACTGAAGATAAAACTAAACTACTAGGCTATCCAAGCGATATTCGACGAACTTACACACTATCTTCACTTTTTCGTACCTTAATTGTAAGACGTTCGAGTGGACATTTTGGCTGTATATGTCAGTCATGATGCATTAAAAATCTTGCCCACAGCTGCCCTTGCTCGAGAGTGCAATGCCATTGCTATCAATCAGCCGCACGGTTCAAAGCCTCAAAGCCTCAAATCAGCCAAATCTATCGCTTCAGTCAGCAGTTTCATCTACTTTAAAGCCGTAAGCTATGTTATGGCACATTAAAAAGCTGAGGCCTGATAACGGACTGGGCAAAATTTATTCCGTTCAACAATGAAACGCCCAACTGAACATCAGCCCACCCACGCGTGATATCACGTTGCGTTCAAGGTCACGCAATCCGGTTTCGATCCCGAAAACACCGCACCGCTTAACTAAGATGTTTTTAGACCCCATTTAGCTGCTTTCTTGTCCCAACATTCGATGTCGAGAACTAGGCATTGGGTAAGATAACACGCGATTTTACGCAAAACAGCTAGAGAGATTATCCTAGCTACGTTGATGCGGTAATTAGACGGACACAGGCTACAAAATATTGATTTCATTTTGACCTAATTTACATACTATCTTGTAATGAATATTTGCACGAATGAACGTGGCACGATAACACGATTATTTCGTGCCATGAATGAGGATAAGATGCCAGGTCGTACATTACCCCACTGCGAATTAAGAAAATTCCAGAGAACAGAAACGTTGGTGAGATTACAGCGATGTGGTGAGCTACTGATAGAGGCAGCGTCTCTTATATGGGTAAACAGTAGACGGTTTACCACGGCTGCACAGCATTCTTGAATCACTTAGTCAACTCTAAGTGTGAAGTCGAGGCCACCGGACTCCTCTGGGTTCGAATGATGAATGAGTGGATCACCTATGCATTTTCCTCACAGAACAAAGTGATAGCATTTGATGAGTAGACAGGTTTCCACGTAAACATAGCCCCCATACATTTTTAGCTACACAGCCTGACTAAATCGGTGCAGAAGCTACCAACTATTCGTGTCAGTGGTATGAAATTAGGCAGTGTGATTACCATTTCGATCCGCGTTAGGCCTAAACCTTACATACAAAAGGATTGGGACGAGTTCATTTCGACAAGATTAGTATATATCATGAAGTTCACAAATTTTCAAATATCACCATGATGTCAACACGTCATACTCCCACCAAGTGTCAATAGGTTCTTCCTTGTGTTTGATATGAGTTGGATTGCATCGTTGACATAGTGAGTCGAGTCCATAAAATCATTTCCATCATTACTATTGACAGCAACCCCAGCGGAGACACTGATGCTCCATAAACATGTCAATTTGCTTGGAAAGCCTAATAATGGGAAGGAAAACAGTAGCTATAAACGTTGCGGAATGATAAGCAGGCTCATGTTTCCGGTGTCACGCACCTGCCTAACGTGAACGGTCGTCGGTTATATGATTCGAGAATGTTGCTTTGGCGGGAATCGTCTATCAATATGTCTGTGCCGTAGACAACTGGCTTCTGATAAAAAGCCTTAGAAAAACTTGCTTTGCTGCATTCACTAGACTTTTTAAAGTTTTACCAAAACGGGGACCTACACTCCAAATCAATAGTGTAGTTTGGCCAAATGTTTGCGAATCTCAGTACCAGAAACCATCAACAAGATCCTATAATGAAACTAACAGTCCGGTATATCATAATTAACACTCTTGGTTATCTGACTTCCTGGGTTATCCGTATCTGATTGACATTTTTTTAAATTTTTTTAAATTTAAGTTCTCCTCTTTATGCTTTATTCTCGTTCACAGCTATTTCATGCAGACTAGGTGATCGTGACGTTTGGAAGCATGGTATCCTGAGATGGACGACATACTGAACATGAAATGCAAGATGCAAATATGTGCAGACTCGTTTCCACAGAAAATTCACGCCGAAAACTACCTCGGAGTGTGTGAACATCCCAATGTAAGCACGATTGAGAGGAAAGAATTAACTTACAATCTAGGGGTATCCCTTTTGGTTCAAATGAAGAAAATGAATGTGCATAAATCATAAAATTATATACCTGTTCACAGCTGAATGCTTCCAAACTGTTGGTCATGACGAGTTTTACCTCCTTTAAGCGAAAAAGACCGTGATCGGTTGTTGATCAGGTGGCTGTTAATTCGCCCGCAGGCATTTCGTTACCTATCACGGGGCCATCACCAGAGAGCGGTTGGGTGGGCAGCTTCTCCATTCCTGTTTGTGTTTATTCTGCTTTTAAAGTACATGATATCTACTAGTGTCGCTGGCTGATTGAGGGACAATCTTGTCGTAATTACACGTGTGTTTACGATTCGTCGTTTTGTGGTTCGCTTTCCTCGCATTCGATTAGTTCGTTGAGGAGCTTCCTCTGGCTAATTACACTAATAGATATCAAGCACTGTTATCCGCAAACAGTCAAGGACAAACTACCCACACGATCGCGCATTGGCGACGCTTCATCCGATGAAACTTCTTGACATGTACAAACGCTGCCGCACAGCTTAGACCAAACGTCGAAAATTTTTGTTGTTGTATAAATAGTACTGCACTTGGAGGATTGAATGTGAACTAAATGTGCGACGGATGTTATTACAACAATCAATCCCGCCGAGCTCTAAAAGTAGCTACTCCTATTGGGAGAATATCAAACAAGCAGTTCTCCGCAATATCGCAGTTCATATTTAGCGTATCTGACCACTCACAGCTTTTAATTTGAAACGAAAATAACTTTCAGCACACATCCTCAGTATACATTTGTACCGGATAAACCTTATGGCTAGTTCCCGAACTTCATTGGAGTCCAGTACAAGGACAATAGACATTCCCACACCTACGAAGACAAGGCGTAACGAACAACCATTGTAACATGCAAAGAATACTCAGTTGGATTCTGAGGCAGGCACGACTAACAGTTCCATTTTCTCCAAGATCACACAGACCAAAGCAAGGTCATTAGGTTGTTTTTGGAGTTCAGAGCGTCCAGCGAAAATTCCCAGAAGCTGGCAGTAATTAGAAGTAACAGTCATCAGAATTAACAGAAAGGAAGGCAACAAACTAAACTCTCTGCTTTTAGGACTTTTCGTCTGAGAAGCCCAACTCGAAAAAGAGAATGCCGGACAACGTCACGGCGACCAGCTCCAGACAGATAGAGCTTTCGTGAAAGGAAACAGTCGTGCTCAACATACGCTGACTCGAGTAAATGATCGGATCTACGACAACGGAATGAATCACAGAATGAATGGGTTAGCGATTCGCTCAGAGTAGTCTCGGGGAACAAACTGAACATCACTAGTAGAAAAGTTCACTTGGCTTCCCACAACTAATGCAGGTCGCTTATCAAAACTACCACTTTTTGCAAATAACAAGCCCGTTGTCCACTTCACCGGAATAATTCAGCATCATTTCCAATGCGTTACGGTCCCGTCTATACTTCCCGATTTCTCGGTGAAAGAAGTTGCTGATCAGTTAACGGTCGAATCATATGAAGAAGGAAGACTTCCCTGAATCGTCTTCTGATGAGGATATGTCTTCCAGCGAGCTGTAAGTGTTCCGCTTTGTTATGCCGTATAGATCAACTCAGTTATTTCAAAGTTCAGTAGTACACAGCTGAACCACGTAGTCATTTTTACCGATTTATGCCGATATGTGGTATGCTATGCTAAACATAAGTGTAATGATGACATTTTTCCTTAATTGTACACGTTATTCATCACGCTATGGACACACGAATGGTTCCTTAGTGTTTAAACGTGTCCAGGATTGTATTGAAAATGGGGGTGGTGGTGTAATTTTGGCACCTGAGTGTCGTAGACCTGTCTCTGGTGAAGAGTTTCGGACGGCAACCCTCCCGAAAAATGAAATCTCGTATGGGTACCTAGCCCTTTGTACCGCTAAGAAACTGCGCCATTCTTCGTGTAACGACATAAACGTGGAGGACAATTGGGGAATGGTGAACCCATGAACTCGCCCATCTGTATCTTATCACTTCAACTGTGATGTAAATGTATACACCTCGTATTCCGCCACTTGGGCCTTCTCTAAGGCATCGAAAATATACAAGTGAGTCAGGAAAACGCAGTAACTCTGTGCTCTGAGCTACTGAAATGTCAGACAGAATTTTCGGCATTAACGACGTGATATAAAGCCGGCCACTCCACTTTCTTCAGAAGGCAGCTACAACTGGCGCTAACGTGAAGAAGCACGTTCTAGAGTCAATTCTGTACAGGTTAAGTTATTAACACTAACACGAATTATCTTTGGATTCGCAAACCAAAAGATGCTATTATGCGAAGAGGAGGGATGTTTATACACAGAACCACTAACGTATTCTGGGGAATTTCACACATCAAGGAAGCGGTTGGTCCCTACTAACGAGTCAAATTTCATTCAAATCGAATCTCATTCAAAGAGCCAAACTAAAGCTATCATCTAAGCAGACCAGGCGAACAAGATCAAGGAAGACAGTCAGGTGTAAACACTGAACTTCCATGCTGACCTGTGACTGCCCGCTCTGGAAGAAGGTTCTGTCAATTCGTACCAGCCATTTTCTGTACACACTACTGGGAGGGTGACATGACATCGGAGAACACAGACATGGTAGACAATGTAAATACAAAATTTATTAGGAAAGTTATGACAACAACTGTGAAGCCTAGACATTTGGAACGTGGAGCCCATTGGTGCAGGCGTACTAGGTATAAGATCCAGAAGACTTGTGAACAGGCATTGGGGTTGCGATACAGTTTGGCGGTTTACAGGACTGGTGGACTTGAACGGCAAAACATCAGAGAAAGACGAACAATGCAAAGCGCTCCGACATCTTCGCTGGACTAACCTACAACGATAGAAAAGCAACCAAATAACAAAGCCAACGAAGTCACCGAAACAGAAGCCGGTTCAAAGTACATGAAAAAAAAGATAAAAGCAGGCCGCCGAGGGACTTAAGGTGGCATACAGACCTTCGTCTTTCGGAAGGAAAGAATGACATAAGGCAATGGGTTCAACGCATGGAACCCACGACTGGCTGATGAAACGGTTTGGTAGGCATCCGGGCATATGCAGCACTGCGTAACAGTAATTTTTGTGAGACTCCCCATTATCAAGTTGAGGGAAATGTCTCAATGGCATTTACGTGCTCCTACTATTAAACACGCAAAAAGGCATCTCGGAACGCATGGACAGCGGAGGTTTGATAACAAAATAATTTAAAAGTAGGGTTAAAAAAGAAAACTGACTGATACGAGCACGTAGCACTAGCAACCTTGTCGTTAGGGCGAAATTAACGCCCCAGTGGAACAACACCCATCGATTCGTAATCCAGCCTGATCCAAATCTGTTACTTCTCCAGCCCAACTTGGTGCCAGTCGTGTTACTATAATGGAGCCATTACCAAAAAACGACTGTTCTGCAGCACCCAGGTTGTTTCCCAACTTATCCAAAGCAACTACCGACAACCATCTGTTTAGGACTGTTCATGCAGTAAACAAAGACACCGCTTTTACTACCGTATCCGACCACGGACAGTTAGACACCTGATGCCTACCGTAACCAAGGAGGTATCTTGCTCCGTCTGTTCAACCGTTTCTGCGTTCACAAAGGGCACTAGCAGAAGCGTTTAGGCTGGCCAACAAGCTGGATAACGCATGTAACCATACGATTTCTTTCCATCGGACACTGGTCCATCCTGGATCGCATATTTTCTCCGTCATTAACCAACTGTCACCATGACGTTGAAATACACTAATTTATGGCATCGTCATACTGACCCGCCAAGAAACACCGGAACACTTCCACTATTTGCAAGTTTTGTTACCACAGGGCACATTTAAGACAGTTTTTGTGTTGTTCGCCAAGCATAGCGACTGGATTGCAAACGTTCCTTTGTTAATAAGTCAGCCATCAAAAACGCTCCTCCCTGTGGGTGCGAATTGATACGGTCGTCTGTACGCTATCGTCTGAACCCCAACCAGATGCATATTTTCTTTAGCACTGAAGCCGTTTCGCCATCAGCAAGGCCGGAGTGGTTTACTCCCTTGTGAAATGATCGGACATCCATTCTGAAATTTCTCCCATACGCTGAGTATCATATCCACAGGCATCTACGGGGTGTGGGGTGTACCATATGTACTGCTGTCAAGAGTTTCCCCACCAGGATCCTCGTATGGGTGAGATGAGCGGGAACCAAATAATGTATGCACATTTCATTCGGGGTTTTGCGGGATATGTATGCAGATTTCTAAGTGGGTAGTTTCTGGATCTCATATGGATTCCATCATGAACGTGCTATCAGAACTACGTTGGAACTGCCACCCTAGCACGAACATCATCATCATCATCATCATCGACAGCATGACATCAAGGTTCAACACTGATGCTTCACTGCCGCACGAACCTTACAGACAGAGTTTTTCAAAGCTGACCAAATTCCCTTCCGAACTCAATTCTCCAACATTTACGAAAACCCTTTTCACAGAACAGCCAGAGATCATTATCATCCAAACGTTGGGAATTACGGACACAACTTTTCCTCTGTAAATTTAATGAGATAACGGCTGAAACGTATATTGCAGAGAATAAAATAAAGCAGATTGTTGATGCAAAAATGTCGTCAGTTGATGAATATGACGCCCAGTTGAGACGTGCTCTTAGTTAAGAAAAGATGGTTACCCCGGCCTTTCGCTAATTGATCAGATGGGGATTTACATTGGAAGAAATATGCCCGATCTGTACTAACTACTTCCCAACATGGAATCCAATATATGATGTCAGGGCAATAGAACTAGAAATATTAACTAGACAGAAGGAGGATCAACACAAAGATGAACAAGTTGTATGTTGGCTTGATGATGGATGATAGTGCCGCAAAAGTCAAGTCGCACACATGCGGACGAATAAAAGGCCTCAGAACCCAAGGCATCCTGTATCAAAGTATCTAGACCATAGTGGAAAGAAGTGTGCATGAGTATATGGGCTTGCCAATTCATATAAGCCAGGTACTACGACGTGACCCGAATTTTCAATGATAAGCACTCCACAGTATCTACATTATCACGAACAGCAATACAGTAGTACTGGAAAATTGTTATTAACTGTAATACAAGTATAGAAGGCTTTAATGAAAGGTGGAAAACATCATATTCCCCAGAGAAAATGAAAAAAAGCGAGGTGCTTCCATCTTCCAAACAAATCTAAACATCCTATTAGAGTAAGACCATCAGCGTGACTGGCCTAACCAAACACACAGCAAACAGACAACGATAAATAAGCGTTAGATAGACGGTCCGGCTAAAAAAGTGACAGCAAACTCGCTAATGGGATCGTTTAATTACCACATGCTTTAGGGTTCTGAACAATGGGTCAGACGTGAACCCCAGCCAGGAAGGCAGGATGATCCCAAATCGTTCAACTTGACACAAGCCACCTTCATTTCGCGTAGCAACGTCATAGTCACTTCTCTGTCAGCCCTTCATCAACAAGGGCTGGAAGTAGAAAACAGAGCCTTCTACGGTAGACCATGGCCAGGACGGCACATATGGATGCGAGATCAAGTAAACACATCAACAACCTCGGGCTTCTTATTTTGATATTTCGAAGGAACATACGAGGATGGGATGAACCATAATCTCGAAATCTGAAATTGTAAATCGTAAGCAGAAATAAGGGGCCACTTCTGATATTCTAGCTAAAAATCTTTCAGCTGTAGCACCCTTTCGGTGCCTAACTGCCATGCCTCCCGAAGGTTGCACGAGAGCTGTGATACTGCCAAGCTGCCCAAGCCTAGACAGGGGAAGTCGAGATGCGGAGGTCAGGTTCGAACCACGGACCTTCCGATCAGTAAATTTGTGTCCTAACCATTTGGGCCATCTCGCCCATATTCTAGTTAGTTAAATAAGCAAAATACCCAAATAATCCAATTTGTTTCAGTTTTCATCCAGATGTGGGCTTGACACTGAGTTGCAGTCTCTTAGGCGGCGTAGCTCACGACAGTCACTGAAAACCTAGAAGGAAAGTGGATAGAGGGGGCGTCCGCGACGAAACCGAATAACTGTGAAGAAACTAAGTATTCCCGTACTTATGGTCACGTTAGGGTTAACGCCGAGCACGCCGACAGCGCAAAGACAGTAGGCTGGCGAATGTACTGTGAAACTTCATTCGAGTTTCGGAAAAACTTGGAATGTCTACCAGCGCAATGCCGAGATGTATAAAACGAGATTGTTGGACGTTTTTTTTTGACTGAGCATCGTGGCGAGATCAGTGATCGGGAACTAAAAACCAGGTGGCACATCACTGGCTAATTTCCTCATATTTCACGTCTCAGGCGAAAGTTAACCTATACTGCAAATCATCTCGACTTTTGTTAGATATTATCAGTAACGTTCACTTTAAAAAACTGACTGCACCGGTGGGAGGGTTGAGACGGACCTTGAAATGAGAAGTAATAAAAAACAATCGTTCAGCTGTAGCACTCTTTCGGTGCCCAGCTGCCATGCCAACAAAAGGAGGCACGAGGGGTGGGATACTGACAGGTAGCCCGAGCCTAGATAGAAGTAGTTGAGATGCTGATGTTGGATCCGAACTACTGTCCTTCAGGTCCGCAAGCTGCCGCCCTAATCACTGAGCCATCTGGAGCTCAATGCATGAGCGCTAAGCCACACCTGGGAGTAGGTTCAAACCGTCTACCTACGCTTGCCAAACGGGTGCCCCACCGGCTGAGTGACCGAGGAAGATCGCTTTTCAGTACCCTAACAGTTGATTCACCAGGGCTGTCTAATAGATTACCTGCCGATGTCAGTCAAAGCCAAAATGGGCCAAATATTGTCATTGCCAAAATACCCACAGGGCCCCGAGGATTTAGCATATCTTGAAATGGAAACAGAAACAGCAGACTAGGTTCACATAACTAACTGCAGCGAAAACGCAATCACGCTGAGTGCACAGTACACAATTCGATGTGGAGCGATACGTTTATTTGCCGCGGCACCCAAACAGCCAGAACGCGAGAAATTAATGGTCAAAGCAAAATTCGCGTTCCGTATGTTTTCAAGACTTAGCAATTCTTCGCCATAATCGATCAGAACAGCATTCTGTTGATGCCCAACAAGAAATCGCCGCCAAAATCTTAATTAGTCCTTCAACAAAAGAACACTTCGAAACTGTTGCACTATTGCAACCATACTGATTGTGACGTACGAAACAAACAATCGTTCGGCAAAAAACTTAGCATCTGGTGGTACGACAAACCTGAAGAAAACTGAGAGTAGAATACAGAATTCACCAACTTGACGCATAGCCTTCGTCCAAATGAACCTGAGTTAAGCGGTCAATTAAATACATTACTGGAAACAGCGAGCAGGATCAAGTTATTGGAACTAGCACTATTTCAGTGAACACAGGCGATGTTTCATGGTCAAGGATGACGGGAAAATGCTGGTCTGCCAACTTTTTCCGATGTGACGACCCAAGTTCAACAACTAAACAGAAGGATAACGTCAATGGGAATATACATGCTGTTTTCGAACTTGAACCGCTGATACGGATACTACTTAATCGGGATTTAAGAAGCGCCACCACATAGAGTGATGGATGCAATAAATGACCAACTGCATAGTACCTCATAAATTGAGTAGCATCGATTGTATCCTCATCAGGAGTAGCATAGATTCCAAGGGCATCAGTTCAAGATATCGCCATGACGCCCACTAATTTAGACTATCGAAATATTGGTAGTGCTACTTTTATTGGTGCTTATATTGATTAGTAGTGGAGAGCCTCTGAGCCTGACATTTAGGTTGCTAGGTATCAACAAATTATTTACAGTTGCAGAAGTAAAATAGCGGGGGGTTGTTATGCACAACATCTGGCTAGTTCATTAAGGTCATCCAGAAACCATTCTGGTATTTGAAGTAAACTATGAAAGAAGACCGTGTACAACAAAGGATATGTAATTTCACAGTGCATGCAAGACAACGAGTAGGACCCGTGAAGCTGACAAGCAAACCGCAGAAACACACGTACCGTAGTTACGAGCGTCCTCCTCGGACAATACGCGAGGATGATTTCAGGGTACCACGGTTGTTTGCCTCTGTTGTGGCAGACTGGCGTGTCCGAACGCGGCGACGGGTACCTTTTAGGTGGGGTACATTCTGTGGGGGTTTGACACGGTAGATACGTACGATCCAGTGTTCCGATGTGAAAGCCTCCTCCAAATAGTCTAGCGTTATGTGCTTTTTGCCAATTTCTACACCACGAGCCCGGTCGAAACCGGGTGGACGATGCATGTCTAACCGGACCTCGCCAAACCGGTAGTAGCTGAGTTTGTACATGAGACAGTTCAGCATGGTGTCCGACGCAGACTTATCAACTCGATATTCACCCTAGGCATGGAGACAAGACATTAAAACATCATAGCAGTATGAACCCCTGTGTGAGTCAAGTACCCGAAAACCGCACCATACTGTACTGACAAGGCTTGTTCTGACGGGAAAGAAAAACAAGGTCATCCCAAGGCCACCTCACGAAGAAGGCACTGAAAGCCTAAATGAAAGACAGACCCAAGACGGCCTGGAACATGAGTCACCAATAATCCATCCTATTGAAGAACAAACACAATGACAAGTTAGACAATAAGTAATGTTGCTGCCTTTCTTTGCCTGGCATTCCTTCTTCTTCCACCATTTTTCTATTAGTTGCAAGTTTGAAAATTCCCATTAATAAATGCGATGATCCACAATACAGTGAGCGGGCACATCCGTAAAGGTTCTGCACCAACAATGCAGCTTAAGTTCACTAAACAGCAATCACTAAATGAATCGATGGACTATACTCTTATCACAGGGATAGCACAGAACTCACTCGATCCGTAAGGTAATTCCGTTCTTGTATTTCCTCCGGGTGCTCTCCGCCTCCAATACGCACCATCCACAGGAACTTATTAATATCATCGCCACTATAACCGGTATAACCGCCAAATATTACCAAAACATAGTCCACGTCCAAGCTTTGAATAGTCTGAAGATAAATCAGAGGATGTGGGAAGTATTGAAGCCTAGGTGACGAAACTACTATTAAATTGCCAGTAAGAATTCCAGTTGGTTATTCATTAGCAATCTATCGTGTACAACAAACGTCTTCACTTAGGTGAAGTACGCACATGCTTCAAGCTTCGCTGACGGCAAGTAGACTGGAAATGTTCATCAGCATCAACAGCCGCAGGGATGTTGAACGTCGGATATCAATGAATAGCGAAAAGAATCAGTGATCACGGCCAAACAGGGAAGATTCAAAAGGACTTGGAACTCTGGTGGACGGCTCAAGAGACGGAGGCTTTTGCCAGCAGGAGTCAAAGGAAAGCGACAAGCAGTGGAAAACACGGTTTACTAATTAACTGATAGGCTGAGTCGAACACTCCGGAAGAGGAAAGGATTGTGATATTAACTTGGAAGCTGTGGAACTCAAGGTGCCACTTAACCTTGTCCTTTGCAACTTGACCGAACACACAGAGATCCTTGAATCAAGCTGGGTGCTGCACTGTAAAGTGGTGCACACACCATATATCCGACATCGACAGATTCTAGAACAGCGGCACTGTTCCTAGGATTCAATGGTGATAATTTTGCTCGACTTGAAAACGTTTGACTCTTAGCGGATACTACAGCAGTATCAATGAAGCGGAAGTGCCCCCAAAAGTCCTTCAGCCTCCCTAAAGTGTTGTACGCCAACCCCGGTAGACACATGAAGAGTCATGGTAGGCCCTTCCTCAAGTCCATCGTATCTAATGCTGTCGGATAAGGTCATCACTTGTCCTCTTTGGTCTCAGAATTTGTTATCGATATGACCATGGAAGACTTGTTCCTAAGGGTGTTCACCCACAGACATCGAGTTCGTAAATGACAGTCCTTCCTGGACGTGAAATGTAAATAATGCGAAATAACCTGCATAAACATTGTTTTGTACGCGCTTCGCACCTATAAAAAGCGAAGTGCTGCTGCAAGAAGCCTGAATCTCGCGCTTCCGGATGACCTTACTCGAGCGTTAGACGAATTTGTCTGGCTGTGCAGCTGTTACATTGGCTAAAGACAAAACCGCCGACCGGACAGGAAGTGGGGATGAGTTTTTACCAATACACAGCATCCGTAGAGTAGATGAAACAAGGCTTATCTGCAAAAATGCTGTTGCTATATGGGGCAAGAACCAAGCTTCCGCGGATCGAGGACGTAAAAAAGTGTTTGATTCCGTGTCTTCGAATTACCAAATCTGAGGGAAGTACGCCGCATTTCTTACGGAGGAAATAACCAGCATACCATACATTAGTTCATCACACGCTAGAGTTTGCAGTTCCTTGGTAGCTTGCTCATGTTGATCGACAGAATTCCTCCAACAGCTCCCCACGCACAACCATGCAAAAGCAGGAGAAGAGCTAATTTTCCTAGACAGACACATGAAAGCTGTTACCGGCAAACTCAGCTGCCTTGGTTATTGCCAATTTTATAGATGGAGAACTTGAAACGGATTATAATCAATGGAAAACATGGTCCAGCGGTGCACTAAACAGCAAAAATGCATCTGAGTTAGTTTTTCACTTCATAGTCCTCCATCCAGTTTCCTCAACCAAAATCAGATGGGTAGTTACAGTGTCCATGAAACATTCCTATGTGACATGGTGAAAAGACTGGGGAAATAATAAGATTCATGTACACGAAAGCGTGACAGCCTTCCGCTTCCAAATATCGGGCAAATGACCTTACAAATGCGTCAGTTGTTAGCTCCATTATCTCCTACCTATCCGCACGAGAACGTTCGCCGTCACACAACCAATGGCGACAACAGTTAGTAAACGCATTGGTAGCAGAAAAAACAATGAGGTAAGAACATGAAAGAGTTCTACTCATACACACCTGATAGCATTCATCCTAGGCCTGCAATTAAATGTCAATGCGAGGTCAAATGTCGCTAGCAAAGGAAAGTATGCGATCGGGCACAATGTCGCGACATTAGTCAGCAGTAGACATAAGAATGAGGAGCAGTCAAGCTGGTCAATTTAGCTGATGGTGCCCCACCCTGAAATGGAGATATGTGTGCATCTTGCTTTTGATGGTTCTCCTTTAGAACAAAGTTAGCTGCACCAAACCCCCTTCGTTCCCCCGTCCTCCCACCTTTCAACAGAGTGATCTTTACACATGATTTTGTGAAAGTTGGGCACCCGTGTATACTGCTGGTGTCCTACTGTCGACGGTGATGGCATGGTGATGGTTGTGGTGTTGAAGGCCGGAGACCAACTAGGATAGTAGATGATCATTCGAAGCACACGGACATCCAACGCTTTTACCGTGCATGAGGTATGCTAGACTCAGTGGGCAGCAGCTAGCTAGGGCTGCGAAAAGGAGTATCCCGGTGCTTTGTCAAACAGAATAAGGCGTACGGAGAACCGAAAAACGCCTCAATTTCTGGATATCTGATCTGTTGGAATTTTAGGGGCTGTGGCATCAGTGGTAACTTCAGGATTCAGAAACATCCGGGTTGCAAGCATCTAGCAAGCCAAACTCAAGGTTCCGGAGACGGTTTTTCATGGTTTCATGACTTCATTCGTATTCAGTCAAATAAACCAAGCTGTCCAAATGCGACACGGTTGCGGCAGACAGTTGTCCGTTACTCAACGAGAAGTCAGTGATCAAGATAGTTTCAAACACAAGAGCCAGTCAATAGCGAAAGATAGACCGAACCAGGGACCTGCGCCAGAAATCCTATATTACCTCTAATTTTTTCACATCCTTCACCGGAATCTAACTTCGTGTCAGTGTAGTCTTCATTCGAAAACTGATGATGGGTGTATACTGAAGCAAACTTCAAAAGACAGTTCGTATGTTTTGATGCAGTTGGCACAATGGTTCGAATTTCCAGCTCAGACAGTCGCAGTAATCAAAAAGCAAAATCGGGAGAAGTTTTGTCAAACGAAAACCACAGCCTAAAAACTTACTTTGTAGGCTTCCGATTCATTTGAGGCCATGGCTTTGCCCACGAGGGCAATATGACTATTGTTCCAGGTGTTGTTGTCTACTAAAGTTGTCCGATTCGCCATACCGGCTATTTGATAGCCGTAGTCCCACCATGACATGACTCGGGCATCTGGTTTAGTGTTTTGCCACAACCAGAAATAGGCCTCCCTATAATTATAGAGGGTAACATAAAAAAGAAAATGAACAAAACCTAGGTATGGGTGCTAAACGTAGACCACAACCACTTGAATGTCTGCATGTCCCACGTCACCAAAGATAAAAAATTCTAGATAAAACCAATACTGACCTTAAAATAACACTACTTGTGAGATCAATGATAGCCCAATAGTGGTTTCGACCTTTTTGGAGCCCGTCAGGTAGATGCGGTCAATAAGTGGTCATCAATCTTGCTTCCGACTTGGACAACAAATTGCAGGCCAGCGTAGTGTTAAGGGAAGATTCGATTGAATTGCACCTGAACTACCAGCCAGATGTGTCACACAAATACCGACTAATGTTTCAGTTGGAACGCTACTCACGCTATAGACATTCTCTCCATTCAACACTACTCGGTATAGAGTCTGCTTTTCATCGAGAACCAATCGAGCACAACGGACCCTATTCTAATACGTTCAGCTTGCTGCTACAGCACGTTGTTCTGCAGTCAGCCAACATGTATAAAGTATCTGGGTTAGCCATTCGGAAGATAAAGGAGTGAAAGTCCAACTCAAATCCTGAACAGGATTTGAGACGGGAAACTTACTAGCCTACCTGAGTGAGAGTTTGTGCATTGAAAGCTGTCAATATGAACGCCGTGTAAGGAGCTAAGCTATAACTCCAGAAATCACGAGCCACAGTGTGGAATGCGACAGCAGAAAACAGTGGGGCTACGATTATTGAAAGGAAAGAAGAGTTTGTTTCCCGAGAAACTTCTTAGAAGTTTCAAAAATAAATAATGAATCATTCAGATGTAGCACCCTTTTGGTGCCTGATTACCATGCTATCCGAAGGAAGCACAAGGACTGGGATATTTCCAGGTTGTCCAAACCTATAGAGGGGAAGTCGTGAGGCACAGGTCGGGTTCGAATCACGGACCTTCCGATCAGTAAATTCGCACCCTAACCATCGCCATCGAACCCAATAACAGATAACAACGGCCTGAACCGCCAAAAGGTTTACCGAAAGTACGTAGCTGTTCTCAGTTCGAGTCCTCGGATGGGATTAGCTATCCAGGACATCCAGTGTACAACTTGTTCAGAACGTTCGCCGTTAAGCACAGATTTTATGTTCGTCTCCATCTTGTATCAAATTGAAGTCAAAGATGCTTCATAAGGCGGTCGAGTCAAAAGAAGTTCACATGCAGGATTCTGTCGCAGTTATTACATCCGACCCGATGGTAAAAGACGGCCAAAGAGTTGCTGCTCAAGGAACTCGAACCAACAATCCTTAACTAAGAAAATGAGGTTCGAACGATAAGAGAAACACAATTAAAAAGAACGACAATTTACAGACGATCAAAAACCGCTACAGATTCTAGCGCACCCTGACTCACCTGAAGTCATCCAAAATAAAGCGTGAGCCATCTTTGCCGTAGGAAGCCAGCACAATGGAAGGGCTGGAGTAGGCGTAGGACGACACCCAAACGCAGTGTGACACAAACAGATAGAGCATGAAAATGACGAGGATGCACACGACCGGACGGTAGCTTGAGCTTCCATTTTTCGGAGTGGAATCCTGTTGAGTTTTAGGAGCAGGACAAGCCTTTGCTCCGTTTGCGGAGGCCGTCTAAGGTGTAAACGAATTGTCCGCAATTAAAGCATGATATTTAACACAAAGAATTGAGAAATCCTGAGACACAACCAAAAGATTTACATCAAGACCAAGTCGCAGTTTTTATGGGAAAGAAACACCGATAAGCACACGAATATGCGAATTTACGGACTAGAGACTTTCAAACAAAATAGGTGGCAACATAGCTCGAAACTTTACGTCGACCAACTTCTGGAAGACGGTAAAATTCAGTTGACATCAAAACTGATAACATACACTTCAAGACAGACACATCAAACACAACCTACAGACCAATAAACTTGGTCAAACAACACAATGCTGGAATGGCATGCGGTAACAAAGCGCTGAATGGGAAAAACGAATAAAAAACTCCCCACGAAGATTAAACAAACACAAAATACATATAATTACATCTACCTGTCATCTACATGAGCTGTACGTTTACGGGTGCATTGGATATATA